AATTTAAAAATAAAACATTAATGAATCACGAAGTAAGATTATTAATACATCGAAATGATACTTTATGGTTATATCTAATAAAATTTATTCTTAGGAAAAAAGTCACGAATATTTGAATATAATTTATCAGATACTTGTGGTCCTTAAATGTAACTTCCATCATTTGCTCTGGTGCCTATTTTACCATACGGGTTTTGGGTGGGTTTCGACCAACAACCTTTCCAATTACGTCTGCAAGTACCAAAATATAAGACAGATATATTAAATATACATTTTAAATATGTGTAAGTAATTTAATTATTATAATTTAAATGATTATTAGCAATTAAAAGCACTCTGTCACCAAGAGTCATTTTTTGAATTTCTCCAAAGAGTAAATTCCCAAAACAGTCCTTCGTAATAAGGAGTTTTCCCAAATTAGTCTTCAATAAGTTTTAATTACCTACGTGGTCCTCTATAATTGAGATATATTCCCAAAATAGTCCTTTGTAATAAGATGTTTTCTCAAATCAGTCCTCAATAAATTTTAATTACCTATGTGGTCCTCTATAATTGAGATTTATTCCTAAGATGGTCCTTCGTAAATAATGTTATTCAAATGAGGATTAATTGAGGGTATTTTTTCTCTGTTAAATTTAAAATCAATTCTTAAAATAATCATTTATAATGAAGTGCTTTCCCAAAATGGTTTTTCTAATTAAAAATGTGTATTTGATTTGAAATTTAAATTTTTTTTTAAGTTTTATAAATGTATTTGGTTTATCTCTATGTAATAAGGTGTTTTTCCAAATCAGTTTTCAAATGAGGATTAATTCAGAAATATTTTGGTATTTTGATCATCCAAATTTAAAGTATATTCTTGAAATCATGGATTATAAATAATTTATGAATTATTTAAACTTAAAAAAATCTTTTAAATTTCAAATCAAATACACATCTTTAATTAGAAAAACCATTTTGGGAAAACACTTCATTATAAATGATTATTTTAAGAATTAATTCTAAATTTAGCGGATAAAAAATAACATCAATTAATCCTTATTTGAGTAATATTATTTACGAAGGACCATCTTGGGAATAAATCTCAATTACAGAGGACCATGTATATAATTAAAACTTATTGAGGACTGATTTGGGAAAATACCTTATTACAAAGGACTATTTTGGGAATAAATCTCAATTATAGAGGACTACATAGATAATTAAAACTTATTGAGGACTAATTCGGGAAAATCCCTTATTACAAAGGACTATTTTGGGAAACTCTTCTCCAAATCTCATAAAGTTGTAAAGAAAATATGGAAATCTGTTTTCTGAAATCTTTTGAAGCTTCGTCTTGCTAAAGAACTATAGCACGAAAGAGTAATTAGTAGTTTTCGTTGTTTGGTAATTGTGTAGTACTTTGACTATCATCAGTAAATAAACAGTATCTTCTTTCAAATCATCCTTGAAACAACGTATATTTGAATCTTTGATCTATGCATGCATTCGATCTACCTAATAATTCAAAGGAAAAAGTATATATTATCATCATTAAAACGTTGTTAATGTATACGTATTTTAGAGTCATATTAACGAAAAACTATTCTCTGAATCATGAAAAATTACATCCAATGATTCGGGGCCCTTAGAATGGGCGGGAACATGATAAACTCTTATTGCTTTCAGTTTTATTATCAAAATCGACGACCTCTCATCAATATTTTTTACAACGATTAAGATCTCAATGTTTTGCTCGAAGGACATAGTTAAAAATTTATAGTATGATTGTGAATGACCGTATTTATAGTATGAAAATTTTTGTTTCTTATTCTATTTTTGTGTTTCCTAATTTTTAATTTTCATAATTCATAAGTTTCAGAACAATCACAGCCCCTTAATAAATAGAAACTTTTTATTAAAAAAATAATTTGACATTTTACCTTTTGGAAGCAAATTAACGTAGCATTAACTACCATATCCATAATTATGGCTTAGCATTACTATTAATATAATCCATACACAAAGCATTACACACTTACAAGTAAATTCAAAGTACTCACGTTTGCATACTTAATATAAATGGAAACATAACTAATATGGAAGCATAATATTATTATATTATTATATGGCATAGCATAAGTATTAATATTATTTAATTTAAATGGAAATACAATTAAAATAGAAGCATAATATTAAAGATATTAAATATATATTTTAATCATGGAAGTAAATTAAAATGGAAGCAAATTAAGTCAAATAAGGAAATTAAAATGGAAGCAAATTAAGTCAATTTTGGCATAGCATTATATTATTTATTGACGTGTGCTATAATTAAGTCAAATAAGGTATTAATTTTATTATTAACTTACTATTATTAAAAAATTAAAATTTAAAGATTCACATATTACCTTTTTTATTATTCACGGTACAATTAATAATTATAATGTTTATTATTATTATTATTATTACACAATACCATTTTTTACCATACACGCACGGCCGAAGTCAGGTATGCAGTATGCTAAATTGCACGGTATGATGTATATGCTAAATTATCTTTGTTTCCTTTTATGTTGCCCACGGTCAAAGTCAGGCATTTAAAACACTTTTGCACACTAACCATTTAACTTGAACACCTACCATTTATATTGAAAACACATGGGCGGGAATTCCATGGTCAAGATTTCACTTCTTTTTAAATAAAGAATAGATACGAGTATTTTTTATGATTTTAGTTGTGTTTCTCATATACGTTATTTTTTTATAACTTTTTTTTTAATTTTTTCAAAACTAAGACTAATCTATAAAAAAGAAAAACAAGTGATGAAGGTAGAGTCTTTTTAAACATATAAGGAAAAAATTATAAAGAATACTCCCTCCGTCCCGTTTTAAATCGTCTGTTTTAAAATTTGGACATATTTAAGGAAGAGAAAAAATATAGTTGATTTTTCAAAATTGTCATTACTTTTTAGGAGGGATGACGATGAATGAGAAGATAAGATGATGAAGAGTGACTTATTTTAGAGATAGTTTAGGTATTTTATTTTTAAAAGTTTACAAAAACAACTAACAGACAACTTATTTTGGGACGGAGAAAAAAGGCAAACAGGCAATTTAAAATGGGACAAAGGGAGTAATAAATAAAAATGAAATTTTATTTTAAAAATGAGCTGGTTCCACTACTACTCTATTTGAGTGGCCACGGAAGTTAATGTTATTGCCCCGATTCAAGTTCATATGATGTTCAGTTCATAAAATTGATAGTTCTACCTGCATAACCCTCCACCCAGTCCCGACCCAACCAACGTCAATTACGTTAAAAAAATTTAGTTGACTTTGAGGTCAATATTTTTGCGTTTAAAGTCAACTAAATTTACAGGGTGCAATTTACGTGGGTGGGGAGATGAGTTGGGTTCGGGACTTGGTAAGGGGATCAGGGGAGGTAAAAACATTCAATTTTAGGAACGAAACATGTAGAAGTGCATTGGCTTCTGTGGCCATTCAAATAGAGTAGCCACGAAACCGGCCTGAAAAAAATTACACCTTTTACCTTGTATAAAATAGATCATTTTTGCTAGCCAGCCATTAGCGTTTTAATAACGATCAAAACACACACATTTCAGTAAAAGTAAAATTATTATGCACCATAATGAAAGATGAGATTATTTTTGAAAAATTGAATAATGTAATTTTATTTTGGATATTTTTTCTTTTGAATTACTCCATATGTGCGAGGAGAAAACAAACCAAATCGGTTGAAATTAGTGTAGGCGTTTGGATGGAGAGAAAGTAGAAAAAAGGGGAGAACACAAAATACACGTCTCAACTCTCAATGTGTTTTCTTTTGTTTGGTTTGAAGAAAAAACTTAGAGAGAAGAGAGATGGGAGGGAAAAGTGAAGGTAAAAATTCTCTCCTAAATAGAGGAGAAAAGGGAAACGTAAGAGAGAAAATGTATTAAATTACGTTTTGCAAAAAACAGGGATAAAAACAAGGGAAAAAATGGAATTTTGCAATGTCACATTTTCTTTCTTTTTTACTTTTTGCTTCCTTTTTTCCATCCAAACATCTATTTTCTTTTTTATTTCTTTTTATTTTTTTCCTTTCCATTATTTTCTTCTCATTTTCTCCTGATCCAAACAATATATTAGGCCGATTATCACATATGTGTTACAACTTAGGCCAAATAACTTTGGTGCCCTCTGTGGTTTTGGAAAATTGGCTCCAATACCCTCTTTGTTTACAAAACTTATTTCTAAAGTCTCTATGGTTTCAAAACATTACACCCACATCCTTTCTGATAATTTTCTGGTCATTTTCCGGCGAAGAGGGGCATTATATTGGCGCATAATTTATAAACCATAGGCGACATTCGTGCTCATTTCTTATTTTCGTTTATTATTTGTGTTTTCCTTTTGTTAAAGAAATATTTTCTATCTCTTTTTCCTTTTCTTAGAATTTTTTTTAAAAATATATTTTCATTTTTTTATAATGTTTTAAGAATTTAAAATTCTTTGTGTTTGAAATAAAAATAAAAAAAATAACGTACATTACATCTTTCTCAAATTAAACATTTTCATTTTTTGTTACTTAGAATATTTTTTTGGAAAGTTAAAAAAACCCAGAATAAAAAAAATAAAAATATGGAAAAACGAAATGGAAAAAATAAAATACACAAAAAAAAGTCTTATACACAAAAAATTTGGACACACCTAAAAAAGTTCTTAGAATTGAGATGTGCAAAAAGGATATTCGTTTTTAATTTTGTATTATTTTGTTTCTTATTTTATTCCTCATTTTTTTGAAGTTCTAAAAAAATTACTTTTGTTTTTCAGAAAAACAAAATTGTTAATTTGAGACGTACATATGCATTATACATTAATCTTTTTAAACAAAAATAACATTAAATTTTCAGAACATTATAAAAATAATTTTTTTAAAAACTTTAGTAATAAATGAAACAAAAAAAATAGAAAAATGGAAAAAACAAAAATAAGCAAGAAATAAAAATCAGCAATACCCCATATGGTTTAAAAAATACTCCCTACGTCCGGGAATAAGCTTCCTACTTTGACTTTTCCTCATTTTTAGTGGGGTTGAATATGATATAATTTGTCTGAATTGCCCTCCCTCTCCCTCTTCTTTTACCAGCCCTGCCATCTGATCCGGAACAAATCTCCAAGCAGGGAAGGTTTGCCGGAATTGCTGGTTCGCTGCTGCAACCCGAATGGGAGGGGAAATCAGGGATCTGCGTCGCTGTCCCCGGAGAAGAGAGCCGCGCCGGGAGGAGGTCGCTGGACTTTTCGGAAAGGGCTTGAGACACAGCTGAAATTCTCCGCCAGAAAGGTCCATCTCCTCGTTCTATCGTCGTGTTGCTGAATCGGAGAAGGGAGAGGCTAGACTACTTCACCGCCCATCTGCCTCAGCCTCAACAGTACTCCACCGCCCACCACTATCCTCCCCCAACGTCCACAGATCTAGATCTAACACAGATCTAGAAGGAGGAGGAGGAGAAAGAGAAGAAGAAGGGGGAGCGGGAAGAGAAAGAAGAAGATAAGTCCGAGAAAGGAAAGGGAAAAAACAAGAAAAAGAAGGGGGGAAGAGAGAGGGGGNGCCGTGGGGGTGGTGAAATGGGGAGGAGAAATGTTGAAGGAGAAGAAGGGTAATTTTGGAAGAGTAGGTATAAAAACGTAGAGTAGGAAGATTTTTTTCGGACGAAAAAAAAGGTAGAGTAGGAAGTTTATTTTTGGACGGAGGGAGTATGCACCAATGCTCCTTTTCTTCACCGAAAAAATGACCGGAAAATGATTAGAGAGGGCATGGGTACAACATTTTGAAAACACATAAAATTTAGAAATAAGTTTTAAAAACAGAAGGGGTATTGATGTTTGTTTTGCAAACCACCAAAGTTATCGTTAGGATTGAGAAAGAATGTAGGAAGGAATATATTATCATATCAAAACATACTATATATATTAATGTGTTGGAGAGCATCGTCGCAACCGACCTTAGCTCAGTTGGTAGAGCGGAGGACTGTAGTCGAAGCAGGCAATCCTTAGGTCGCTGGTTCGAATCCGGCAGGTCGGAACTTTTTCGTTTTTTTACGTTGGACATTGAACTTTGATAAATAATTACTCGAACATTTATTTTGGTAGAGCGGCGGACTACCGTTGAAACAGAGAAATACGGAGTATTTTTTTTTTATTCTCAAAAAATAAATGAAACCATATTTAAGAACATGGTTAGAGCATATTCTTTAATGCTTAAACTCTTAACTTCTAATTTCTTATAATTCTTCCAATTTTTTCTAGTTATTCCAGTTCCTTCTCGCCTTTTGCAGTTTCTTTCAACTATTTTTATTTTCTTCAAACTCTTTCTAGTTTCCGAAATCATTCTAAAAATGACATATTATTATTATTATTATTAATATTATTACTACTATTATGTTCAAAACTATAGTTTATAAATTATTTCATTTTTCTTATCTCACTATTTTGTGATTCACACTCATTATTATTATTTCTTTAACTTTTTAGTATGAATAGTACCATTTTTTGTATATTAATTTACATGATAAAACAAGAAAACATCAATATTTTAAACTATTTAAAAAAATTATGGATAAAATAGTTATATAGAATGTATTTTTAATCTAAATTTATATAAGAAAAACATCGATCAATATTTTAAAAATTAATTTTGCTTTTCATTTTTCTAATTTTTATAAATATTTTAAACTATTTAAAAGATAATGGACAAAATAGTTATCTAGAATGTTTTTTCCATCTAAATTTATATAAGAAAAACATCAATATTTTAAAAATTAATTTTGCTTTTCATTTTTTATAAGAACAAAAGCGGAACCCGGGACGGAGCTCGAAGCGTTACCTTGTAAGACTCCTCTCATCACTCTCCCGTGCATATATATCTCTCTATTTAGATTTTAGATTTTCTTATCCTTCATTGAGCTTATAGCTACACCATTAATGGCTTCTACGGCTAAATTATGTACTGTGTACAACCCCTGATATTAATAACAATTCTCCATTAGCAAGGTACCGCCAAAAAAGGTATTTGGTTTTCTCTCGATTTGGGTTTCCACGTCAAAATCCATGTTTTTATATTTTGGTGTATTTTTAGACTAATTAATCGTTTTTGCCCAGCTAAAAATGATATACCGGTCGATAATCATTTTGGCGCCGACCGTGGGACCGGAGCAAAAAGTCATGATTTTTCAACTCCCTCATTTTGTTCATCAGCACAAACCCGAACGGAAGAACAAAAACTCAGAATTGAAGTAAATTTGGGTGGAGAGGTTTTGCTCAAACAGAAAAAAATAGAGGGAGAGAACCTTATTCCCATACTGATTTTCCTTTCCAAAAGACAACCAAAACACTCTGTTTTTCTTCCTATGCCAAAAGAGAAACAAGAGAATAAAACCCATGTCCAAACACCGGCCGACCATGTGAATTTCTTCCCGAACGGAGTACTGTAGATTTCACGAACGGAGTAGTCATAATATTACCCATGGCTCTAAGGTGAAGAGAACTTTTTTTTTTTTGGAAAATGTGAAAAATCCAAATAGTTTTTTTTGGCTAAACACCACCATTGGTCCTTCAACTTTATCAATTGTGCACGATTGGTCCTTCAAGTTTCAAAAGTCCATAAATAGTCATTCAACTTTATGAGTTCTGAACCATTGCTCCTTCAAGTTTCAAAAGTCCATAAATAGTCCTTAAAGTACACGTCAGCCCTCCAGATGAGGTTTTTTTGACAGTAAATGTTAAAAGTTAAACGGAATACTAGTTTCATATAATACGAGTAAATTCCACTAGATATGACTACTCCGTATTATATGGAGCTAGTATTCCATTTAGCTTTTAACATTTACTGTCAAAAAAACCTCATCTGGACGGCTGACGTGTACTTGAACTACTATTTGGAACCATAAAGTCGAAGGACATGGATTTTAGCTTTTTTTTGCAGGAAAAGAACTAACAAAGATGATTTGATCAAGCAATGAATGAATTCCACTCTGCTCTCTTCTTCATGAGACTCCCCATGCCCCCTCCATTGCAGAGAAATCACTACACCAATGTGTTCAACCGCAATCTCAAATCTTCAAAAACACACCCGCCCACATCTATTCCTGCTAGAATGCTGCTCCAGCATGAAACGCCTCATGGAATTCCACGCCCATTTCATCACTAGTGGCCTCTCTACTCACCCCACCATCCTCAGCTCCATCGTATCCTTCGCCGCACTCTCTCCTGCCGGGGATTTGGGTTACGCCCGCTCCGTTCTCGCCCGCATCACCCAACCCAATTCTTTCATGTTCAACACCGTGATAAGAGGCTACGCTTCGAGCTCCGACCCGGGTTCCGCTTTTGTTCTTTACAGTTTCATGATCGGACATGGCATTGTTCCCAACAGTTACACTTACCCTTTTGTGATCAAGGCCTTATCGAAGGGTGGTAGGGATTGGTTGTGCGGTGGCGAAGCCACACATTGTTCTGTGATCAAGTACGGCCATGTCTCGGATCTTCATATAGCTAATTCGCTCTTGAATATGTATGCGAGTTTTGGGTTGTTGGAAGATGCGCACAAGGTGTTTGATGAAATTCCCAAACCGGATGTGGTTTCTTGGAACATGATTGTTGATGATCTTTGTCAAAACAGTCGCTTTAATGAGGCCTGGTACGTTTTCTCCCGGATGTGTAAAAATGGGATTCGGCCTAATTCGGTCACATTTCTCTCCCTTGTGTCTTCTTGCACAAAAAGCAATGATTTGGGTACCGGTAAAATGGTACATTCGCAAATAATGGTGATGATAGGAAATAGTATCAGCAAAAATCTTGAGAACTCATTGCTTGATATGTACTGCAAGTTTGGTGATCTGGATTCAGCTGAGAAAATGTTCCATATAATGGAAGTAAAGACCGTTTTTGCATGGACTTCACTGCTTGATGGTTACATACTAAAGGGTGAACTCAAAAGAGCTGTGGAAGATTTTAATCGCATGCCTTTAAAGGACACAACTGCTTGGAATGTCATGCTTTATGGTTTCCTAGAGGCTGGTGATGTTAATTCAGCTGAAAAGATTTTCAGAGAAATGCTAGAAAGGGATTTGGTGTCATGGAACAGTATGATTCTTGGATATGCCCATAACAACAAACATATTGAGTGTTTGCTGTTTCTCAAAGAAATCCTGTTTTCGGGGGTAAAACTTGATCGGATCACCTTGCTTGGTGTGTTTTCTGTTTGTGGGTATGCAAGGGAAGCACAGTTTCTTGGTGAAGCCGTACACTCTCATATGGAAAAACGTAACATAAAGGGAGAAGAAGTAGAGACTGCTTTGATGGACATGTATTCCAAATCTGGTTCTTTTGAGAAAGCTACAAAAGTGTTTGAAACTATAGCAAGAAAATCTGTGTTGGCTTGGAGCGTCCTAATCGCGGGACTAGCTATGAATGGTCTTGCAAATGAAGCTCTAAATTACTTCCATCTGATGTGTGAGGCCGGAGTAAAACCAAACGAAATTACGTTTTTAGGCGCTTTGTGTGCCTGTAGTCATGCAGGTTGGTTGTTAAAGTATAGCACATTGGGAAAATACCCATACTTTCGTCACCCTATAAGTGTTGGACTTCCTTTGTACATGTTGTTATGAGCTTTGATCTCATTTAAATGAGTTGTTATGAGTTTTTAGCTCATGCCCATTGTTCCTATGTTTTTTAGGATGAAGACACACAGTCTATTCGCGAGAAACCCTTTCAAAAATCTCAAATTTACTTCATTTGGGGTTCTTTTGACACCCATCATCAGCGCCAACTAAGACACATTCCATTTGAGGATCTTATGGTACTCCGTTCAACCCTGATTTAGTTCCTATCCACCCCCAAGTCCGTCCCACAGCCCCCAAACTCAATAGTATTTACTGTAGCATAACGGTAAAATAGGGGGGCATGGGTTTAGATAGATAAGAACCACTTTGGGAATGAACGGAACACTGTAGAGCCCTCAAACCTCAAATGACCAGGTGTCATATTATGACACCAGTTATGGGTATCCAAAGATTCTAGCTCAATTTAATTATTAATCTATATTTCACCTTCCTGGTCTGATCTATATATTTAAAACAGGTCTTGTTGAAGAAGGCAAGGAGTTGTTCAGAGATATGGTACAGATCCACGGCAATACACCAAGGTCTGAGCATTGTGGCTGCATGGTGGATCTTCTTGGGAGAGCTGGTTTGCTGAAGGAGGCAGAGAAGTTCATTCAAGAATCTGCGCCCGCCATAGCTGATGAAGCTGGAGCTTTGGGAGCACTTGTCGGGGCTTGTAGAATGCATGGTGAGATTAGGATGGCAGAAAAATTTGCCAAAAGACTTGTGGAAATCGACCCATATAATTCGGCCAGGTATGTTCTCCTCTCCAATATCTATGCTGCAGAAAACCGGTGGGGTGACGTTGAGAAGGTGAGGAAGAGAATGAAGGCTTCAGGGGTGCAGAAAACACCAGGATTTAGCTTGATCCAACTGAAATAAGGTGGCTGATTTTAAACACTGAAAACAAGTGCAACAATCACAAGTACGTAAGTTTTCCTGCTTTTTTCCCACTTGTATTGGATTTTCATTACCCCTTCTTCTCTCAGATCTCTGAAGGGAGGAGCTGAATATGTATTAGCATCAATCATTTTATTAATTCTATGCGTCTATTCTATCATTTTGGCATATTACTTGTGTGGTTCAGGAACATTGATGATGTGGACAAAACAATGGATGAGATTAACGAGCATACTGAGAATATGAAACGAATTCAGGAGGCATTGTCAGCGCCACTTGGAGCCGCATCCGATTTGAGGTACTACTTTTTGATCCTCTAGGTTGGGTGTGTGTACGTCTGTGTTCTGTACAGAGAATCTCTAAGAGTGTGTTATCACTTATCGGGATGAACTGGAGGCAGAACTTGAGGAGCTAGAAGAAACTGAATTGGAAGAACAACTTCTTCAACCTGCTACCACAGCACCTGCTGCCCCAATCCGTGCATCAACAGCAGCTGGCAGGCAACCAGAACGCCGTCCTCCCTGAAGAACACTGCCGAGGAAGAGAGCTTGCTGCTCTGCAGGCTGAGATGGCTCTTTAGGGAAAAAGGTAATTTCTTGTTACTTTTTCTATTATCATGCTCATTTAATTTGTGAAGTTAATTTCATTTGTTTTGTTGAAAATTCGAAGCTTCTGTTATTGGAGCTTGAATTGCCTCTTGTATATTGGGTCTAGTTTGTGTCTGAAGATGATTGCAAAAATCAACACTCAGCCTTTGTTTGGTTAAGGTGAAATAGGAGAGAGAAATGGAGATTTTTTTGTTATTTTTCAGGTGAAAAGAGAAATGGGAGAGTGAAAATGGTGGGTTTTTTTTACTTTTTCTTCTTGATCTCTCCTACTAAACAAAACTCACAATCTACCATGCCTCTCCTTGTCATTTTCAAAGGGTAAAAACTGGAACTTTGTTTTGATCTTATAGCAGGTGTAAAATGAAAATCAATCATAATCCATCTATTATCAGTCTCAACCACTAATGTATGATCAAATAGCTTAAAAAACAGTTTTATAAAATAACCATGACAAGTCAGAGTACAATTGTTATTTACGGACAAATATGGCATCATCTTTTGCGAACAAGAATATACTCTAAGATTACCTAATTATAACCATCACTCCTGGAAATTCATTATCTTTACAATAATACTCTAGGATTACATATTGCTCATAGATATGCCTAAAAATCGGGGGATCCATGTAAAACTTAATATTCTCTTGGAGTATTGTTGTAAAAATATTAAATTTACAGGGGCATTGCTGATAATTATGTAATATTGGAGTATTCATGTAAAAACCTCAAATTTCTCAGTGTATTTACAAGAATCATTTATTTTTCTGCTTCGTCGCTGGCATGTAAAATTCGCAATTCCTCAGGTCGAATTGGATGGGTAAATCAAAGGTGGAATTCACAGGTTGATGTATCTCTACCCTCTTTGTTCAAGGGATCATCATGATAATGTGCATTTGAAAAGGAAAAAAAACTCTACTGGTGAATGTGTACTGTTTTTCTGTATAGATTGCATCAAGAAAGCCTGTATTTCCCTAGTAATATTGCTACTCTATTATTGTTGAAACTTTAAATTAAACTTGTGTTCACTTGTATAAACCCCCCACTTTGTAATAAATTTAAAAATATTACTTAGTATATGGTTCTTTTGTTTGTGTACACGCCGCCCATTTTCTCGCCCTTATGTTTCAGAATAAGGCTCCACATTTTGCGTTTAGACTAAGGTTTCATATATGGTTTGACACAAATATTAAGGAGTACGACATTGTGTGATTGAGATTTATACAAAAAAAAATGCGAATCGCATAAATCTTAACCTTAAAAATGTGGAACTTCATTTGGTATTTTGTAATACACTAGAAAAGAAATGTGCATTTTTTGGGCGTAGATGGAGTGTAGCTATTTCCTTGGTCTTGTAATAAGACTCATGTTTAATTTCACAAATTTAAGAAAAAAAATTGAATATTTAAAAGTATATAGTTGAAGTTTGTTTGGAAGATTCGGAGTACAAGTTTTTAGCCACTTGAGTATTTTTTTATATATGATGATATGAGGGAAGTGTACGTTAATTTTATGAGGTTTACAAAGTTGAATGTAAAGTTTCGTTATTAGCCACATGTTGCTTTTCACAAAAAAAAGATGAATTCCATCCCAAACGTCTCTTCAGACCCAGTCGGATAGTCGTTGAGAGGAGGTAAAAATCGGATTTTGATCACAGATTGCTGGCAATAAGTAGAGCCTGCACCTGTTACTTGTAGATGCCTTATGCTTAGCATATTTGCCTCTCAACATAGTTGTTAGGTATTGAACTCGAGTCTACTCCCTTGATACTCTTTGCCGTTGCTAACTGCGCAACATCTAGCGGCATGCTTTTCACAACCAAAAACACGCACATGCAAACCTTTTGCATCTACCCCGCTTTTTCAGGATATTTAAAAAGAGAAGTTGAAAAAATATTTAAAAATCCAATCATGACAGAGGTATGAAAAATGAGAGAGGGATGAATTTCATTTGCTTCGCAGAAAGAGGGAGGTGAATTTGAAAGTGTTGAAGGTTCCTGAAATTGAACAGAAGGTATGTAGAAATAGTTAAATGCCAATTCCCAGTTCATTTGCTTTTAGATCAGAAATATAATAATCTTGTTGTTTTGTATGTTCCCTTTGGTGCAGAAAGATTTTTTTTGAAGTAGGTATAGCAAAATAGAAAAGCAATGAGACTAGGAATAAGTGTATTTAGAAAGAAATTCTTAAGAAATGCATATTTTAAGGGAGTTCTCAAACATCATCATTTAGAGGTGTGTTTCATAATCATGAATTTGTCTGAAATGTATAATGTCGAATTTGGGCACAAAATGAAAATGGTAAGTTTTCAAGGTTTCGCCTTTTGGGACAGAGGTTATATATTTTTTACGAGCCATATTAGTTCTTTTCTTTGTCTTAACATTTACGGATTGTTATTTGTAATGTTATATCATCAACGAGCATAAGACTAGGTAGTTGTAGCGGCAAGAAGAATTCTTGACTTTTTTCCCTGCTACGACCTGCAAGGTAATTATATCAATGTGTTTTTCAAGGTGGACTGCTGTGCTAACTACTTAGTACTAAGTATATGTAATTTTTTAGATGCCAAATATACGCACGCGTTTTCTTTTTTTTGCATTAGCTCACTAGCTTCACTTCTTGAACCTCTGGCAAAGTTTGCTACTCTATGCAACTTCTTAATTAGCTAGCATGACTTTAAAGACCTGTTCATGGGTTAACCTCCCCCCCTCCCCCGCGTGTATGGAAGAAGTTAAAAGGTCTTAGTTTTTACAAGGTATTGGATGCAACAGATGATGAAATTTCGGGCCCTCATGGCACTGAATGGCTGAGATAGCACAGGCTACCAAGAAATTGTACGTCTTGGCCGATTTAATTCATGTTCACATTTATATCGTCACGTTTTTCTTCCTTCTCCTTCCTGGTAGGTACACTCTATAAGTTATCCTTTACGTGTTGAGAAATTGTGCAGTTCTGAATGTTCGATTGCAATGAATGTTCTATGGACAAGATTGAAAGAGATAGACAAGAACTGGCGTTATGTCTACAAGGTAAGAATTAATTGAAATTGAAGTCTTCCAACAATAAGGTGTTTCCCCTAAACAATTTTCCCACAATATGTATCAGGCACTGGTTGTTCTAGAGTATTTGGTAGCACATGGATCTGAGCGTGCAGTGGATGATATTGTAGAACATACATATCATATTTCGGTTCATATTTTATTTTGTCAAAACACTTTTCGCTATAATTTTTTTAAAAGTTTTCATGATAGACACAATGTTGAATTCTTTTTGATACACAAACACACTTTGGGGGTGTTTGTTTTTCTGCCAGAAGACCTTCTGGCGTCTTTTGTCTGCGCCGCGCAGATGATGGGCTCTGCAGATTGTTTGTTTTTTGGAAGACATTTCACTCAAAAAGGTCTTCCTGGCATCTTCTTGGAGAAGACATTAACCAATGTTTTCTAACATCTTCTAACATCTTCTCCTTTTTTTTCTACTTCTCTTCACCACCACAACCGTCCACCACTACCACCGTCCACCATCACCGTCACCGTCCATCACCA